ACAACAGAAATTTCATTGACCTTTTTCATTTCTAGCGCATCTACCTTTTAAGACAAAGTAATCATTTCGGGTCATCATCTTCTTTCAACACATATTTCCCTCCCTAGGATGCAGATGGTTTGGTTTCAACAATGTTTGGCGAGTCTAAGTCCCACATTTGAGAACTCTCAGAATGGTGTCAAAAAATTCAAATGCCTCCTTAGGATTCTTTCCCATGAATTCTCCTTGGGCCATCATTTCTACAAACTAACACAATGCAAAGGGAAGGTCATTATAAAAGAAACCAACTAGGTCCAATTTTCAAACGTATGATGTGGGCAAGCTTGGAGAAGATCCTTAAATCTCTCCAAACACTGGTAAAAAGTTTCTCCCTCTTTCATAGAAAAATTCATGATTTGGCTTCTCAATGTATTGGTTCTATGGACAGGAAAAAATTTCTTAAAAAATTCAATTTATAAGACCTACCAACTTGGAATGAATTGAGCTTTCAAAGAATTTAGCCATTGCTTAGCTTTATCTTTTAAAGAAAAAGAAAAAAGTTTTAACTGGACCGTTTCAAAATTATCTTGTAATGCACTATATACTTCCTCAAAATCTTTCATATACAAATAGGGATTTTTAGACTCAAAACTATGAAATTGTGGTAAAATCTGTATTGTTCCTGGTTTGATACTAAAATTTGGAGCATTTGTGGAAAAAAAACGCGAGGAAACACTAGTACGTGTTGGATGCAAATATTCTCTCAAAGGCCTCGCATTCTGAACCATCTCTTGATCTTTTATATTATTATTAGGCATGTTTAATTCAAAAGAGTTTTGTGGATGCTTGTGATGATGATGATAAACAATGATGATAACAAGATAAATGAAACAATATATACATAAAATAGAATCTAGGCAACTTCTCTTTCTCTATTTTCACAAACTACCGTAACTCTTGGATAACGGCGCCAAAAACTAGATTTGATCTTTATCGTACACACCCAAGTATAAGTGGTCAAGTTGTAATATTCTCGGCAAAGTCTGAAATCGATTCTACAAGGAGTTATCTATTGGAAACTTGAACAGAAGAAGAGTTCATGAAACCTAGAGAAAGATTGTGAAATACTGTGAGTACGTGATTTGAAAGTATATTGCTTAAAAAAATGAGGTTGCAATAAATGGAAAAGGGCACTCTTTAGCTCGGGGACTAGGACATGCATGTCATTGCTTGATTTTATGATATTGCTACCATACTACAATTAATCCCCACATTAATGGTAAGTTAATCAGAAGGTATTTAATATAAAACCATAAGACAGCAACCGTTACGTTTACCGAAAGGTATATACACCATACCATAATCAATTACCCTAACAAACCTGAAGGTATACAACTGTTCAAAAGTTCACTTTGGTAATTGATCGGAAGGTTTATGACTTAATGAAAAACATAGCTCCGGAATATGCATTGAATCAAAAGCATTAAATCATACATGAAGTACATAATGTAAAAATGATGGAATGAATAAACCCTAGCTCGGTACTTGTGATTAGCACAAATTATTGCACATCATGTATACTTTTGTATCCCTTTTATACTTGTTTTTATGGTGAAATGGGAGGAAATGTAATTAATCAAACAATTAATGAAGTTTCTGTGTGATTATAGGTAAAGAGTTGGAAATGGCTTGAGTTAAACCCCCATCATAGTGCTCAAAGTCAATGGAGATAAAGGGTAGGCTTAACAAGTGGCTTGGAAAGTGAAAAGATCAAGAAAGGAGCAAATTAAGTAAAAAGCTACTGGTAGGTTTGCTCATAAAACTACCAGTAGGTTTTACACACTAGAGTTGGACCTATTGGATCATCTGCCAAACCTACCGGAAGGTTTCGCTTGCTAGAACAAAACCTACTAGTAGGTTTTGCTGAAAAATGCCAGAACATGCAACTCAAACAAGATATAGAGAGAGAAGCTCAAGGAAGAAGCATAGTTTTAGAGAGAGGTTGATTTTTACATTTTCTCACCCACTTCACTTGTAGTAAGTTGCAATACTCTTGTAATCTTCATTTCTTGCACCTTAATCTCATTTATTAAATTGAAACACTGCCACCTAGGCACGCTAGGAAAAGTGAGAAAGGTTCAACCCTCCAAATAAGAGGAGGTCTTCAAAAAATGTAGAAAAAAGAGTTTGGCTTGGAGAAGCCTTTTTTGTGTTTTTTTTTTTTTGAAGGCAAAAATCTTCCATTGGGTGGCAGCTTGCATGGAGGACCAATAGGAGAGGAGGCAGCCAAGACTGACCAATGAAAGAAGAGCAGGTAAGTCGGTTTAACCACTGTCCGGACGCCAGCTTCCAACATCCGAACGGTGGTCTTCCATTGGAATTCAACAATTTTTCCTTGGGTCTTGTGCTGGTGCAAGGCCCCATCAGTCTGATGGTGCAAGGCCATCCGGATGCTGGTAGTATGGCTTCAATGTTTTTCTTTTTGCACCTTAGTCCCTTAACTTTCCAAATTTGCTTTTTAGACCTTGTCATTTTAAAATAATATGTTTTCATCCATTGGTACATATCATTTAACTTTTAGCCCTTTAACTATTTAACTAAAGTAATGAACCCTTCAACTTTTATAAACAATGTAATATTTTAGTGTTAATCACTCCATTTGTTTGGATCTCTGAATCACTGAAACCCAAATGGTATAGCTCCTGTCTTATAAACTAGCAAATAAAATCATTAATTTAGCAAGTAAAAGGGGAATACATCCAAAAAATGGAGCTCTAGCTAGGTTGATTACGTCTAAAGGTGACAATTTTAACTCATTACCTATCAACTCGCCCATAAATAAATGAGCTGGGTAACTATATTAATTAATATGAGTTCTAAATGAGTTATGTAATATAATTCATTTTAATTAAGCGAGTTAAGATAAATTATAAATGTATACTCTTTCGATTGAGTATTTATCTTTCTATTAAATAACACAAGTAATAAAATCAAATAAATATACTAAATATACTAAAAAATACACACTCCCCCAAAAATACACACACATACAATAATACACCAAAATACACACATAATACATCAAAAGTACGTACACTAGTACACCCAACCAAACCCAAGACATGTGTGTATTTCGGTAAATAGTATGTGTGTATTTTGGTAAATAGTGTATGTGTGAATTTTGGTGAATAGTGTTTGTGTTTATATTTTGGCATTTTATTAAATGTATGTTTTTTGCGTGTTAGTATGTGTGTAGTTTTGATGTATTAATGTATTTTTTACATTTTAGTATGTGTGTATTTTTAATATATTAGTATGTTTTTTGATGTATTAGTATATACTTTTGATGCATTAGTATGTATTCATATTAAAAATTTTAAGAGAAAATTTCAGTTACATCGCCTCTAGTTTACCATAACTTTAACAACATTCCCTTTATTATCTAAAACATTATCGACATCCCTTCTAATTTATATTTAAACATCACTGATATCCCCTACCGTTAAACCATCATTTATAAAAAAAAAAAAAAAAATCAAAATACCAAAATTACACCTATATGAACCTCAAACAATCTTACATAAAATTTCATTAAAATTTGAGCCAATTAAAATTAATTTTTTTACATATTAAAATTTAAACTGATTAAAATTCATTTTTCTACTTATTAAAATTGAAGCCAATTAAAATTCTGTTTTTTATGTATTGAGCTTTGCCAGAGCTATTATTTGCTTCAAAATGATTAAAATTTATATTTTTCCTTATTAAAATTCGTGTTAATAAAATTTGATTCACACTGATTAAAATTTATATTTTACGTATTACAAAAATTTGAACCAATTAAAATTCAATGCTAGTTGAATAAATTTTGATTCAAGCCAATTAAAAATAAATTTTAATCTGTTTGAATATAATTTTAATCGATTCAAATTTTAATACATAAAAAAAACATAATTTTTAATCAATTTGAATTTTAACATAAAAAAAAAATTTAATTAATTTGAATTGAGTTTTAATCGAACCAAATTGTTATAAGTAAAAACTCTTGAAAAATTAGAGGAAATTTCATTAAAGATATGTCTATCTAAAAAGATGTATGAAATTTTGCTTAAAATATATTTAACACTTTTAATCGGATAGTAGGTGTCAACAAAAATTCAGAAAATAAAAAAAATGCCCTTGCAAATAGGATCACTATAAGGGATATGACTAACATATTCTCAAATATTAATTATTTTACGAATTAATAAATTTAACCCAACTCATTATACCATTATACCCCATTTATTAAACGGATTAAAAATAAATTAAATTTATTTTACATTCAGCCCATCTTGAACCAACACAAACCTGCTCACTTGCCACCTCTAAATTTACGTCAGTGGCATCAACAAAATTGTGGCTCATGACAGTAATTATCTCTAAAGTACCCATTAGGTTACACAATCTGCATACTAAACAGGAATTTTCTGAACTAGCAGAAGGGATAATGCTCTTAATTAGAGAACGAAATTAGAGCATCAATGAGAAAATAAAACATGCACAAACCAAGGCCATGTTTGGTTAGCTTTTCGAAAATTATTTTTTGTTCTCAAAATTTTAAAAACATTCAAAACCTCTTTGTTTAACATTTTTGTTTTCAAAATTTTCAGAAAAAATGAAATATGATTCAAAAAAACAGAAAACAAGAAAAATAATTTTAGACTTTAATGAGTTCTGTCCTTCGAGTATCCTTAACAACAAATTTCTTTATTCTTTTTTTTTTTTACTTCTTCCTCTCTCATATTATATTTTAAAGTTTGATTTATTAAATTTTTTTTTATGAAATTATTTATCTAAAAATAACTTTTTTATATTTTTTTATTAATATTTAAATTACTGTTCAAACATATATTTAAACTGTCCAAACATATTTTACTATTTTCTGTACTATAGAATTATTTTTAAAATCATCTAACCCAACAACTTTTTTATCTAAAAAAAATATCAAAACCATTTTCTTAAAACTCTTCTCAAAAATTATTTTTAAATACTACATTTTAAAACACAGACCAAACAAGGCCCAGCTCTTTGTAAGCCGGAAAATGCAAGTTTCCTGTACGTTTTCAACATAGATATGACCAAAACCAAAAACCACAAGGAACTGCCCAATGAAGTTCATTACTAAAAATCCAAACCGTCCCTAAACTGCTAAATCCCGTGATCCAACACTATCAAAACTTCTGAAAATAAACAAAAACTAAAAACTTGGCAGAAAACAAACATGGTAAATAAAGACCCTTCAGTCAAAGAGTGAGAATCCCATATCCTCGTCACTCTCCTCTTTCTCTTCTTTTTTCTCCTCAGCCGGAGGTGCTTCAGCAGCTGCTGCCCCACCTGCAGGAGCTGCAGCAGCAGCAGCTCCACCAGCTCCAATGAAACCACCACCACCGCCGCCTCCAATAATCACCTAAATTGAACAGACAATTAAATTAGGTTCAACTAGTACACAGCTGCCATCTTGAGTCACATGCCTAAAGTTCAACAAGCACTGACAAACACCAGCAAGCAAAAACGACATCCATATTATAGGAGCTTTGGACACATACTGCAGGTTCACCAAAAACAGTGTTGTCAAAAAGAAGCCAAGACATTCAACACATACAACACAATTTAAGCCAGATCATGATGTTGGTTTCTCATTCCGGGATCCTCTACTGTAATACATTTCCTTAATTCTAGATCACCTGTTAATGGAAACAAGCCACCTAAATAGAGTATGGTTACACTTTTTTTGATAGAAAACAAAACAACTTTATTGATTTAAAATGATAAAAAAAATAGAGATACATCAAAAAACACTATTATGGATGGACAAGATGCTCAACCAAGAAGTGAAAAAAATACAAATCTCAACCAATCAAATTATGTATCACACGAGGCCTTCCAATCCGCTAAAATATAAAAAAGCCTTCATAACGGAAGCCCATAACAATGTCAAAAAATAGGTGTGATCCCATAAAAACCTTCCCTTCCATTCTCTTCTACTCTCAAAAATCTTAAAAGAGTTCTTTTCCAACCATATTTTACCCATATGATGGCAAAAAAAACATAATACCAAAGGGTTATTGCTTTATTATGTCTTCCTAACCCTCGAAACCCTCCATCAACGTTGTTGACAATGTCCTAGGAATCACCCATTTCAAACCAACTGCTTGATATAGTTTGGACCTTAAGAATGAAGCAATAGGGCAATGCAAGAACAAATGATCAATAGTCTTACTAACACATGCACACATGACACACTACTGTGGAGAAATGACCTTCTTTAAGTACATCATTTGTATTTATCTTATACCATGAGCTATAGTTCATGCATAAACTTGCACCTTGGTAAGGGCACCTTAATTTTCCATATCATCACAGAGTGATAAAACATAGAGTGTGAAGAATTATCAATTAATAACCCCGAAGACTCAAGACACCACTTTATTTTATCACTTTAACTCATGACACAACCTAACCTCATTAATCAAAGATAGTAATGACCCCAATTCCGTAAAATCTCTATCATTAATAATTTCTACGAAATTAAAAATTTCAAGAAACTGATTGATTAGAATAATGAAACATCAAAGCAATAGAACACTATGAGAACAAAATAAATGATAAAGATGGGAAACATACAAGAAAAAGACGAGGATCTCACCCAAATATCCTCCCAAAAGTGAATTCTCACCTCATTGCACACCATGAATGTAACATACTAAGAGAACTTCGAAAGTCCCTGAGAAATAAACTTCCATGGGCATCGATAATTTCCCTTGTCAATCTTTTTAGCATCTCGTCTATTGGCCTTTAATCCATATTTACTCTTAATAACCGAATACCATAGAGAATTTGCTCCAATGGGAATCTCCACAACCATTTGCCAAGGCTATATTTCTTGCATTCAAATTTCACACTGCAAGGTTGCCTTCAACTTTTGTTCTTGAGATAACCTATCAATCCACTAAATGATCCTTTTTTCCCTCACCACTTACGTCCCACAAAAAATCCCTCATCATTTTCTCAATTGTTATTGTAATCTTTCTTGACATTTTAAAGAGAGAAAAAAAGTAAGTAGGTGTACTAGCCATAATTGATTGTACCAATGTTAATCTACCCCCTCTAGAAATATAAGCTCTCTTCCATCCATCCAATCCTTTTTCCACCTTCTTCACAACAGAGTCCCAAAATGCTATAAATAAAAGAGTCCCCCACAAAGGAAGACCTAAGTACTTTAAAGGTCAACTCCCCCAATCCACACCCCAACATTTGTGTCGATTTATCAACTTTATCCTATGAAGAATTATGCCCACGCTCAAACATTTCTCTATGTTTACCTTTAATCAAGACACCATTCTAAATACCTTCATAATGAAACCCTCCACCAGATCCAATGTTTTTGCTCTCCTTACTAACCTACTCAATCCATCAGCCGCTAATACAAAGAGAAAATGGAATAAAGGATCACCCTGTCTAAACCTCTAGTTACTCTGAATCTCCCCTAGGTTGTCGTTAATCATAAAGCAAAAATTCATTGATTGAAGCATCCATTAATCCACCATCTCCATCCCCTACCAAATCCCTTCATCTTTGACACATGATTCAAGAAACTCCAATCCACATAATCATATGCCTTTTCAAAGTCAATTTTGAAGGCAATACCCTCTTGGCCGTTCAACCTACAATCCTTCACCACCTCATTAGCCACCAATACTACATCTAAAATTTGTCTTCTTTTAATAAAAGCACCCTAACTATTTGAAATTGTCTCACTAAGGACCTCCTTCAATCTCAATGAGCACACGTTTGCAATGATATTATAAAGGCTAGACACAAGGATAATCGGTCTAAAATCCTTTATTCGCATGGACTTGTCCTTTTTCAAAATAAGGCAAATAAATGTGGTAGCTTCAAAGCAAGCTATTTGATTTATATTAAATGGCTCCTAAAACAAACCATTGGCCCAGAACATTCAATAGTCATCAACCATAACCAAAACAGAATCAATCAATCAATCAATCAAATTACATGTTTTTCAGATGTAAAGATACCATTTTTCTAAAATTGGGTTTCAATCTAATGACATAGTGAGTCACTTGCTTTATTTACCATTTTTCTACCCAATCCACCCCTCCTACAGCCAGCTATCCAAATGGGTACCAATCAAATTGACCTCTCCCTAACAATAGTAACTTTATTTTTGCCTATATTTAAAGAGCAAAAAGGTTGAATTCCGGTAATACAATAGGCAATTATTCCCGTACAGTCATAGACACATATGGAATAAGTCATGCATAAAAAGCATCAACAACACCAAAAATTTTCCAGGCGCCATTATCCATAAACAAAAGAAACACAAATCCAAAGAATCACAACCTCTGTACCAACATCACAGATCATCATGAGTTAATTATCAGAGCAAAAAATAACCCTCACTCCAAAAAAAAAAAATTCTCCTTACTTTTCCAGACGCTGTTCTCCAGAAACAAAAGAAAACACAACCCAAAGAATAACAACCCCTATAAACTTACATCATAGATCACAAATGAGGACAATTAATTAGTAGACCAAACTAATTAAATCCATAAAATAATAAATCATTGCTGGAATTTGATTAGAGATAGAGACCTGGAAAACAGCGGAGGAAGGGGTGACAAATGAGAAAGACGATTGAACCCCACCAGAGGAGTCACAAGAAAGGGCAGCCTGAACGAGCTTCCTCTGCAACTCGAAGGTAGACCCCGCCGAGGCCTCAAGGTCACCCTTCACCTGCTTCGCATTCCAGTCGTCTCCAGAACCCCTGCACACAAACGTGAACACTCCCATTCTCTCTCTCCTTTCTTGTGTGTGTATCTGTGTGTATGAGAAGGAAGAGCGGCTTTGGAGCGTTATATATGGGTTATTTCAGTTGGATTTGTAAGGGACTAGGAAAACCCTAGGGTTGCTTGGCTTGAGGGAGTGGAAGTACCAGTTTATCCCTTTACAAATTTCGTAATTCATATGTTGTCCTCCATACTAAATTTATCCTTATTTATGTATATTTATATCTATATCTATACTACTAATAAAATTAATTTAATATGAAAAACTTTTGATTCACTATTTTACCCTCATAAAAAATTAAAAATGTCACTATATCCTTTCACACTAAATATCTAAATTATTATCATATCCTTATATATTTAAATATCCAAATTACATCTAAGATCACTTTTAATTATATGTTCTCTATGTATAAATGTCAATTTTTATAAAAAAATTAATTGATTATATTACTTTTAAAAAATATATGCATCATAATAAGTTTTAACATAATATTCAAAAAAAATTCAAAAATTCCATCAATATAATAATATTCACCTTATTTATAAAGATAATATTATGATTACTTATTTATATTTTATTTTGCATCAAATTATTTAACCCTATCATTTTATACACCTAATAAAAGTAACTTAATATGAAAAAATTTTGATTCACTATTTTACCCTCATAAAAAATTAAAAATGTCACTCTGTCATTTTATAGTTAATATCTAAATTACTATCATATCCTTATATATTTAAATATTCAAATTACATCTAAGATCACTTTTAATTATATGTTCTCTATGTATAAATGTCAATTTTTATAAAAAAATTTAATTGATTATATTACTCTTAAAAAATATATGCATCATTATAAGTTTTAACATAATATTCAAAAAAAAATTCAAAAATCCATCAATATAATAATATTCACCTTATTTATCAAGATAATATTATGATTACTTATTTATATTTTATTTTTCATCAAAATATTTAACCCTATATTTTTTAAGATAAAAAATAATGTATATATAGTTTTACATAATTTTTTTGTCGCAATAAATTTTTCAGACCGTGTTAAGATTTTATGTAAAAAGCTTGACTTTTTTCTTAAATTTTAATATATTTTATAATATATATTATAGCATTGTATATTAAATTTTATCCCAATTGATTTAGACAATCCTAAATACAATAAGGTTCCAATATGATTGGTATATTGATAGTTATTTTTATTTTATTTAATGATTTATAAGTGTAATTTTAATCAAATTAATTTTTTAATTATCTATTCTGTATTTATAAATGTCAATTTTTATGAAATTTTTTGATTAATTATATTACTCTTAAAAAACATATGCATTATTATAAGTTTTAACAAAATATTCAAAAAAAACCTTCAAAAACTCTATCAATATAATATTACTCAACTCATTTATAGAGATAATATTATGACAACATATGTATATTTTATTTTTTATATGAAGTTTTATATGATTTTTTAGTCACAGTAAACTTTTTAAATTATGTTAACATTTTATGTGAAAACTTGAATTTTTTTAAAAATTTTAATATGTTTTATAATATATATTCTAACATTATATATTAAATTTTATCTCAATTGACCTAACTAATCCTAAATATATTAAAGTTCCAATACGATTGGTATATTGATAATTATTTTTATTTTATTCAATGATTTATAAGTGGAATCTTAATCAAATTAATTTTAAAAATTTAATTTTCAAACATCACTAAAAAATCACTTTTAATTACAAAATTATAGAAACAAAATAGAACGTTAATTATTTCTTTTATTTTTTTATTGTTTTTTTTAAAGTTAGAAGAACAAATCTTAAAAATATACAAAGTTTTTAAAAATTCTATAATGTAACATGAGAGATAAAAAAATAAGTTTGGTAAACTTAAGATGATATTTAATTTAAGTACATATAACAAATATTTATTTATTAATTTTTTTTGAAAAAATTATTTACGTGCAACGCACGTGGTGATGCATTACTAGTAAATTAAAAAGTTTATGATAATCAATGGGTGAGACATGACGTAAGTCGGGTTGTAGTATATATCTACATAAACATAAACATTCAGTAAAACCTATTATTTACGGTGTTTAAATTTGTTCTCATCATTAGATTTTTTTTTCTATGTGGTATTTAAGTTTATATCGATTATTCCTTCAAGTTTAGTGATTATCATCGTGACTTGAGCTAAGACTCTTAAAGAGTGTGAATGAATTGAACATGAGACCCTAAATTACCGAAAATTAGATTCAACCAATAAACCACTTCTATGGGTTTCTCATGAGTGATTCATTTGTGGTTGCAGGTATATAGGGTTTTGCTTTGTAGGGGTAACTCTAATGTTGTCCTACCTTAGAGAGGTTACTCACCATAAAAAAAAATAAAAAAATTCTCATGATAGTGTGACATCATATGCAAAATGTTATGCTTCTCCTGATATAATAGAGTCATTACAAAATTTTTCTTTAGGCTTAGAATAGACAATATAGAAAATTTGATTGGAAAAACTACATAGACAAAGTTGTAGATGAACTAATTATTGTTTATGCCTAAAGGCATTATGTTACTCGTAAAAAATTACAAATATTTGTTTACAACTAGGTATGGCAGTGGACTGAAGCGGGGGTGTGGGTTGTAATCTCCATCCCTGTACCACTTTAAAAAACTTTATCCATCCCCGTTAACAGGTATAGTTTTCATCCACATCCCCTGTGACGCCCCTAAAATTGGGGATCTCGTTGACCATCCGTCAACCCGCGAAAATACCCGTGAATGTCGCATGGCTCGACATAACGTCTATCACATTCTTGTAACCGGGATCATAGCTTACACGTATAACTCGTGTCTCTTTAATCATTTGATTCAACAGAGGTCCAATAAGCCTCAACATACCTCTTTTAATGTCCATTTATATCATTGAAACTAAAGAGAACAAAGTTCAAAAGGTTAGCAAAACAATTTTGGATTTTTCAGGTTTTTGAAAGAGTTACCGGTAGGTGTTTGTTATAACTACCAGTAGAAATTCTACCTGTGAGCTACCGGTAGCTTCCTTCTACTGGACAGGTACTACCTCTTAGCTACCGGTAGTTATTGTTTGCTGTACAGGTACTACCTATTGGCTACTAGTAGTTATTGCCTACTGTACAGGTACTACCTGTTAGCTACCGGTAGGTTTTGTCTAGAATTTCATATTTCATCGGTTTTTCATTTCCAATTCAATCAAAACCTTTCCAAATCCATCCCAAACATGTATAAAGATATTTTCTACATTATACATGATTTATACAAGTCTATTACAACCCATTCCATACAATTTACATGCCAAAATAGAATTAAACCAAAAGTTTTACATAAAACTCGGTTCAAGAGCCACAACCCAGTTCTTCTTCACCTTAGAGGCCTCGAATGTGTGTCATCCACCGGAATATGCCCTTTACCTGAAATGTTTCCTGTATAGGGTGAGCCAACGCTCAGTAGAATACTTCCTACAAGGGCTACTCCCCACCTAAGTGCATATGAATGTATACATGCAACAACACTCAACCAATATCCATTTCAATGCAAGAATATTCAATTCATGTTAGAACCTATCATGTCATGCCATGAAATGAGATGAGACTCACTCATGCACATCAACCCAAGCCTCCACCAGCTCTCTCCACACATACAATGCAATTGTAAAAATTCTTGTCATTGATGAAATACATCCAATGATCATCTTTGAAGATAAAAACTAAGTGTTTATAACACCAATTCATTTTTGGATGTTTTCCATCAAACGAATCATTTATCCAACAAAAACCATGTGTCTTTATTTGGGTAGTGGACTTTTGATGTTGCACCGTCGGTTCCACACACCGATACACTTTTTTGGACTTACACTGTCGAAAGTGTATAAACCAATAGCCGAGTCTTGCACCCAAGGGGGAATCTATCTCTTCTTGCTATACCCGACACAAGTTTTTCCATGTGTGCAATCGTGCGACTCAGTAGGATATTCAACCCCACTTTCCTGAGCCCACCCATCAAAATACCAAATGTGGTGATTGATCCAACCATGCACTCACACACTCATACTTATGGCATGGATGCATTCTCCCGTGCAAATGCAATGTGATGCACCATTGTAATACCAATGTCATGCTCAAATATAATGTATGTGAAATGAACTATTTAACCAATCTCAATACACAACATGACAATTAATATCAATTACATATAATCACCACTAATCAACATGAAGTTAGCATATTGACAACATATCTTTACTCATGTTATCTCAACAAAATTCATGGCATGTTATACAAACTCATACCATAACAACTAAATTCCTCATAGGCATTTGGCTAGACACCTCCAAAACAAATAATTCATGTTATCACATAAATTAATCAAAGTCATTCACAAGGTACAATGACAACATTTATCAAATTACCACAATTTCACAAATGAATCCCCTATACCGAAAGTAACTAGGAAACCTAGGTTAATTTATTCCCCTTACCCATTTCATATGACATCTAGGTAAGGAAATAAACCAAGGTAGGAGAAACCCTACCTCTTGGAGAGTGAGATGAAGATAGAAAGTTTCTAGGCACCTCCTTAACCCCAAAACCTTTGATTTCCCAAATCTCCCCTTTTGGATCTTCGGTGAAATCCCTCGTTCTTGGTACGTACGCGTAGCCCTCGTTCTTGGTACACCAACGGGGCTTCTTGGATCGAGAGAGAAAGCTTGAAATTTCTATTTTCTGTCTTCTCTCTCTTCTCCAACGTGTGTTGTGCTAAACAAGGGTGAGAATATCTAATTTTTCAGTTATTTAGCCCTATTTATACTTTTAATTGCGCGGTCCACATTGTACCGCTCGTTTATACTTTCGGGTTCGTTTTTAACCCGAAACGACTTAATTAAATTTTAGTTTTTTTTTAAATTAATTTTATTTGAAATTTTATTCAATTATAAGAAAATTTTATAATT